ATATATGTATATATATATACACACTACATTAGGTTGACAATTATACTTTACATAGTATACTGAAGAGATGTGATTAATTTTGAACACAAACTAATGCTTTCAAAACTATTGCAAATCATTCTCAAACTGTGACAGAACATTGGTTAGCCAGCTAGATAACTTTACCCTGGTAAAATATCTAAATAAAACAACAGTGTTCAGTAAATCAAAGTTTGGCATAAAAACACATGATCAATGAATGAAGTAATCTGATGTTGAGTAGAGATGTTGACTTTCCATTGTGTGAGTGTTTGGAGACATAACCTCATTTTTGGCAGCCTAAGAAGCAGAAACCTGCATTCTGTCTCTCTCTTTCTCTATCTCTGTGTCCCTTTTGTTGTCTCTCTTTTCTTGATAAAGGTTTTCATTCAGAGATGCTAGCGACTGTCCTCCCTCTGTTCCGTAAAAACAGCACAAAGCTCTTAGAGAGAATAACAGTGCTAGTCGGAATTTACACTGTTTTTCCTTTTCCTTTTTTTGTCCATCTCTCAGATGGAGGAACCCTTCGCTGCCACCCCTTAAAGGTGAGCATGTGCCAACAGTTGCCAGCCCCAACGCCGCTCTGTTTCCATGCCAACACGAAAGGCTCTCAAATCGTGATGGACAAGATGCAGCGCAGCGTGCGCCGAATTGCCAGCTTCTGCAATGCCATCACCTTCACCAACCGGCCAGTCAGAATCTATGAACAGGTCCGGCTCAAGGTATGGTAACCCAACGCTTACCTATTTCCACATGCCACTTTGTGTGGTCCCAAAATAGCCCTAACATATCCTTCTTTCATATCACTCCATCTCAAACTTTCCAGAGGAAGGGAAAACAGAAAGAGAATGCTAGAAATGCTAACATGTGAGGTTGTGCTGTTATCTAGTTCTGGTGAATGAGGTTGTTTGGGAATGAAAAAACAAGAATCTGTGTCTGATAAATGCGTCTGCTGGTCTCAATTTATCGCATCAGACTTGTCACACAATAACTTTATCATTTTTCTACAAATATATGTAATTTTAGCTAACTCTCTCGGTTCCTCTCACTTTTGGTCACTTCTTTTAGATCACAAAGAAACAGGGATGTTGGAGTGGCGCCCTCCGAGTGGGTTTCAGTTCAGTGGATCCATCAGATTTAAGTTCAGCATGGCTGCCACGGTTCGCCTGCCCAGATTTAGTTAGCGAAAGGGGATTTTGGGCCCGAGCGCTTCCTGAGGAGCAATGTGAAGAAGGAACCGTTCTGTCCTTCTGGTTGGATAACACAGGACGAGTGTTTTACCGTGTAAACAGCGGCCCTCCGATCTTCTTCTTCGGCGGTGTACCAGCCGGAGAGCCAGTTTGGGCGATCATTGACATTTATGGGCTGACACGTGGAGTACAGCTACTAGGTAAGTTCACATGAAATATCAGATTTTGCAAATTTATAATGTCCCTTTACATTCTAAACCAAGCAGTCATCAAACTGCCTTAAGCTGGTTTGCCGGACGTCTCTTGAAGTAACTCTCTACACAGATCAGATGACATGCCATTCAGAGTTTGCTCCGAGTGGAACTGCTGAGCTCCGGGACAGGCATGTAATGTGGGCCAGTATCTGAGCTGTACTTCACTGAGTACGTGCTGATCATTCGATGAGTTGTAAAGTTCACAGAGGCCAGTGTGTTTTTGCTGTGCTGAGCACGTTTAAACAATTTAAATTCACAACATTTAAAAATAGAATTCTAGATTTATACCCTCTTATCCTAATTACAAAAACTGCCCAATGGAAAAAGATGGGAGAGATTGGAGCAGTTGCCTAGCAACACTTTCACTTTTTAAAATGAAAAACATATGCTGGGGAATTCCAGAATGCTGGCAAAGTGAGAAAAACAATTTGTGCTTAACACAATCAATAAACCCAGTTGAATGGAAAATTAGTATTCCATTCATAATTTAGTTGTAGTGATATTCTGTAGGAACAAGGCCAGGTTTAATTAAGCCAGTTAAGCATGCCTTAATCATTGTTTATTTGTTAAGGCATTGGTAAAGCATACAGATTAAGAATAGAGTTGTTATTGTTGTTTGATATTATTATTTAACATTTTTCACCTAAAAATTGTTTGGCAGCCGTAATATGGTCAAAGGTTGACAGTATTTAGGAAACTTTTGAAACTATTATCGTACCATTATAAGCTATACATTTGGTACCATTTTGATTTATTCATTTTTTTATTTTTTTATTTGTTTGTTTGTTTGTTTGCTCTGTTAGAAATCATTCTATTCTGATTAGATCCTCAACAAACATTTCAGTTTATTTGAACATTGAAAACATTGCTTAATATTTTTGTGAAAACTATGATAATAAAATCATAAATTTGAAATATAAATATTTTTCAATATTATAAATGTCTTTACTGTCACTTCTGATCAATTTAATGGTCTTTGCTAAATAAAAATAATTTAAAAAAAAATTATATATATATATATATATATATTACTGACCCCACACTTATGAACAATAGTGTAGTATCAGATGAATCAGTACTGAGAAGAATCAGTGAATTGTTTTATTAAACCAGTGCATTTAAATGACTCAAACAGATTTACTAAAATGAATCAAACTTCACAATACTGATGTTTAGACAAACATGTTTGTTTAGTTCCTCAGTTGTCTCAGCTACTGTATATGCTATAGTCTGTGTATGCAAAAAGCATTTTGTAACATTACACTGCTGCTTGTTGGAAAATGTAGCTTGTTACTGAAGAAGCTACATTGTTTTGAAAAGAGCTGAGCTACTGTCTAAAAATTAACCTAATTTAGCATTGCTACTTTTAGTTCATTGCTCCCTTACACTTACAAAAAACAAAGCTACAGTAATAGAAAACTAATTTGTTTTCATGTTTTTTTGTACAATTTTAGTACATTTTAGTGAATGCATTACTATATTCTATTTTAAAAAGATCTTCTTTCTCGGTCTCTCTCTCTTACGTTTGAGTAAAAATAGTCAGTGTTTCCAGTGTCAGATAGCAGTATGTCTTAGCAGTGAGATCGGGCTGTGTTCAAAAGCATAGACAGCATGTATGTGTATTGATATCAGGGGTCAGTGTTGGTGTAACTTCAGTTAACCCTTGGGACATCTAGACTAATTTAACCTTCATTATATAACCTGATCTCAGCTTTCAAACCTACTATGCAAATACACATACACACCCTGTCATATTTTGCTTCTTATCTAGCTAGCAACATCCACTATGTGTATTCAAGCCTATTTTCAGTTGCACTTTGCCTCTGTATAAATACACGTGCATAGTTGGTTTATAGATGAACACTAATCATGCCGCCAGCGATCCGCACATGCTGTGCTCTCTCACGTTACCTCTGCTTCCAAAATGTGTTTATAGTCGGATGGCCAGATGCTGTGACTAAAATCTCCTCCTGTTCTCACTAATGTAGATCACACCACATCTGGCATTGTCAAAGTGGTTCAGTGCTGGATGGAAGGTCCCTTGTACTGTTGGTCAAACAAAAGCATGTTGCTGGAAATGGGTTTATTCTTGAAAATGCAAACTGCTTGTCTGCCAGCAGGAGGCGCTGTGAGAGCGGCAGAACTAACGGTTTCTCCAGTAACGGCTGTAAACAAAGAAGCTCCACTCATGAACGCTACTTTATCAGATAAAAATGCCATCTAAACTATTCTGAAGACCGTCGGTTCCCTTCAGAGATACATTCATATAAAACACCCGCGACGCGTTTTGATTTTGAAACGTGCAGTGCTCATGTTTATTCAACGAAGTCAAACGCCACAAATAAATCAATGTATGGGAAACACTGGTAATGTATATCGAAATATCGGAAATGTGTTTAAAAAAATCATATCACCGTTATTGAAAAAAATTATATCGCGATACATATCGATATTGAATTATTGTCCAGCCCTACGTATTACCTACATGTGCTTTGTTTTTTGTAAAAATTCAATTCATGCTTTGTATGGATAGAGTATTTTTATACTTTTAAAACCAGTATGACACAGAAGTTACTAATAATATTGGACCAATGCACGTGTTTCCTTCCTTTTGATCTTTCGTTTCATGACCCCAGTGTCACTGAAGCTTCCATGTCTCAATAATTCCTGTTCAGAGTAGTCAGTGCCAGCTAAACGTCAAGACCGAAAACTAAAAGCGGCCGAGATATGAACATCTACCACGTCTGAGAATGTTTCTGCTGATGCGGCTGCAGTGAAAGTTATAGCAGACCAGTAATTTCCATCACTGAAGCTCTGGTGTTCTCATCAGCGGCTGTCCACTGTGGATGGCCAGTGGCAACGTTTTTACTGACTTGGGTCAAAATGAATAACCACCCAGTACAATTATACCGATGCTGCTGATTGCAGGCTACATGAGCAATAGATTTTTATGAAGAAAATATGAATGTGGCTTATGCATGCAAAACTCACTGCCACAATGCTAGAGTGTTGTGGATGGTTGCCAAGGTGTTGCTATGCAGTTGCTAATTTAAAAAAAATATATATTTTTTTGCATGGTCCATCAATATCAAAAAATCCAGAAAAAAGTAATATTAAATAATAATAATTATATATAAAAATAAATGTTAATTTTTTTTTTTCAGATGGATACATATTTTTTGAACAGTATAGTGTATACATGAATTATTTTTGGGGTCTGTAAGATTTTTTAAATGTTTTTCAAAAAGTCTTATGCTCACCAAGGCTGTGTATATTTAAAAAATATAGCAAAACAGTAAAATTGAGAAATTTTATTACATTTTAAAATAATTTTAATTTTTTTTAAATTATATATATATATATCATTCTAATATCCTGATTTAGTGCTCAAGAAAAATGTATTATTATCAATGTTGAAAACAGTTGTGCTGCTTAATATTTTTGTGGAATTTTTTTCAGGGTTCTTTGATGAATAATAGAAGGTTTAAAAGAACAGCATCTAATTGAAAAATAAATTTTATAACAATGTATGTCTTTAACTTTTTATAAATTTTATGCAACCTTGGTGAGTAACAGAACCTTTTTTTTTTTTACTAAAATAAAATAAAATAAAAAATACTTACTGACACCAAACTTTTGAACAGTAGTGTAAATGTAAAAATAGACATAATAATAATGCAGTGTTTTCTGGTTGGTTGCTAGGCAGTTGTCTTTCCTTCTTAAATAATTATTACCTGCCAAGCAGAAAAATGTAAATTCAATCACTTGGAAAAATAATTGCAGGATCCTGATTTTTGAATGCAGTGCATATGTGTTTTTTCCAGACAGTAAGATGGTGCCAGCTGAATATCTCTGTCCTACTGTGACTCATGAATGCATGGATGAGTGGCATCTGTCAAGCAACTGCTCTGAGCTTGACCTCCAGGAAGAGCTGCCATCCTTCTCAAGCTCTCCAAACGCGCTCAACTCAGTGCTGTCACGTCAGCTCAACGATGACTTGCATTTCCACTGTGTGCATGGCAACGGTCTGCGTCTGCTGACTGAACACATAGCGGTGCGTTATTATAACAGACGTGAGGATTGCACTCTGGCGTTCACACATCGGCCGCTGCGCTGTGGAGAGTGTGTGTTCCTAAAGGTCTCGTTGAGGTCATCTGCTCTGAATGGATTTTTGTCTTATGGATTCACTTCCTGTAACCCAGCCCATATTAATCCAAAGCACCTGCCGGTCAGTCCAGATGACCTGCTGGACCGCAAAGAATTCTGGGCTTTTAGCTACCTGTCTTCACCGCTTATGGGCGGGGATATCATCGGTTTCCGAACAACTGCAGAAGGGGAGGTGCTTGTGAGTCATAATGGAGGGAGAGCATGCAGAGAGATGTGTGTGGATAACTCCACTCCTTTGTGGATGATCTTCCATTTACAGCAACACATCAAGCAAATCAGCATACTGGGTAAAATATTAAATTATACAAATTATTGCTCTGGCTTAAACTGAAGATGTTTATGATTATCTAACTTTTCATAAGTGACTTTATTTTATTATTGATTATAATTCAATACTAATAATAAAAGGTATGTTTGACATAATTACTGAATAGTTAATGCAGAATGAATGCACTTTTAATTATTGCTCTGGCATAATGTGAAGGTGTTTAGATTTATTTTTTCCTGTAGCCAATTTTACATAAGTAACTTTAATTGATTTTGATCAAAATTAATTAATTAATTTATAATATTATATAATATAATAATTATTTGATTAATTTTTGTACTGAACAGTTATGTTTATTACATAATAAAAGGTATGATTGACATGTTTATTTAATATTAGATGTGCAGGGTTAATGCATTTTTAATTATGTCTCTGGTATAATGTGAAGGTGTTTAGATTGTTTTATTTTTTCTTATATCCAATTTTTCATACATAATGTGAAGATTGTTTTTTCCCATATCAAACTTTTTATTAGTGACTTTAATAGATTTTTGATTACAATGAAATTATAATGTAATATCATTTGAATTATTTGTGTATTTATTATTAGTTAGGGTTAACAGATTTTTAATTTTGTTTTTTTTCCAAGGCACTTCCTGTGGTTACTCTCCATCCTGTTCAGAAATACAGAGGTCCATCTATAGTGATGCCAGTCACCTATCAGCCAATCAGATTCACAGTACAGCAGTCAGGGGTTTTACTGACAGCTTTGAGTCCCGCCCACAGAGTCTCTGCAGTTCTGTAGGTGCGTTCCTGTCCTTTATTCTTTAATTTTCTATTATTTGTTGATTTACCAAATTCCTCAACAAAAATATATTTCTCATTGCTGTTTTCTTTGTGATTGCTGTGGTCACCAGGGACAACATTCAGTTCACTGTCCTCAGAATCTCCCAGTACCCCATCATGCTATGCGATTACTGGTGAGGAGTGTTTGATTTGCTGTGAGAGGGCAGTGGACTCAGTGCTGTACGCATGCGGACACATGTGCGTGTGCTCTGTCTGTGGTGGGAAGCTAATGGAGATGTCAAACCCATCTTGCCCCATGTGTCGTAGCCCTATCAGAGACGTCATCAAAATATACCGCAGCATGTAAACTGGAAACCACCTCTCTAACCAATAGGATGACCGTACTGGGTGATTCTGAAGGGGCTCCTTCACAGGTTGAGCAAGGAAGAGGTACTAAATGACTGCTTGATATACTAAATGACCAAAAATGCAGAGAAAACCCAGAAGTACAGTAACTGCATAAGTGGATGGCACAACAATAATGTAATCCCAGATAATAAGTCTCTATTGCCTATAAATCTCTATGGACAAATGGCTAGATGTGCATAATGGGAAATCAAGCTACTATGAGACATTCTTGTTTTCGTTTGATAATATCCTACTAACTTCATACTGTTAAAAGACTGTTCACAAATAGTTCTTTAACTTGTATATGTTAAGTCAATCCAGAATAAGAATCTGAAAACTACATTGTGGATTTGATGTGTTGGTAAATATATTAAACTGAAAAACTAAAAACTGTTTTACATACCAAAGTAGACATTCACAAAACTGTAAGTGCCAATAATTTTATTTATGTTCGTTGTGAAATAAAACTGTAATGCTAACCAACAGCAGAGCCTGTCATTATTACTGCTAAAAAAAATTAATTATAGATTCATGTTTTAAAGGTTTTTATATTAAGCATTTATAATAATGCAATGATTGACCACTTGATGATTGAATGATTATTTAGTTAACTTACATATGCCCTACATTAATGCATGGACATAAACAGACAAACACCATCAAGCTATTGTGATGAAGATTCAAAATAGCACTTGGCTATTTATAATAAGACTAGATCTGAAAATGAAGTGATTTAATAGGAAAAGGAATAGCACCAAGTTTAATTACACAAACAAAGAGACACACAGATAGATAGATAGATAGACATTGATAAGTGCATTTAGTCTGTAAACCGTTTTAGTAAAAAAAAAAAAACAGACACATTTGAACCAAAACCTTCTGCAGAATATTAAGACCAGCTAAGAGCAATAACTAAAAGCCTGTTCCGTGACAATAACATCACATCATCCAGCACAAGCAGGAGTATTCAGCATATAAACAAGTTGTCAGTCAACAAGAGAATTCACTTGTGACTGACTCTTTAGTGTTCCATTTGATTTTGTGAACAGAGACAGCAATGTCTCTTATGAATTAAAAAGGGAACATGATTTTATTGGGGTCATGGTGAAGATGTATGAGACGTAAGGCTGGTATTTAAATCTGGTCACCCACTAGCTCCTCCTCTCCAGGAAGTTGGAGGGCACCCATCCTTTTCGTGTTTTAGCTGTGTCGAGCACACGGCAGTACCACCATCCATTAGGGTTTCTCTCCAGGACCTCCAGCCTCGTGCCAGCAGGGAAGCTCATGGTCTCCGCATCACCATGATAGTCAGCAATAGAAACGTACTCCTCGCGCAGGTTGTTGTGGATCAGATGAGGTTTAGGCTTCACCATTGACACCGGTACCTTACGTCTCATGCTCTCGGTATTACCTGCACAGGAAGAAGTGGTTTGGTCATTGTAGCTAAGACTAGGCAGCGCATCGTTCCTCCATCCTGCGGGAGTTGTGTGCGTATTAGTGCTGTCCTTGAGGACGTTCTGAGGTCTGACGGCGAGCTGCTTCACGCCGACCCGGCAGTTCTGCTGGTTAGATCTGTGTCCACTCTTCAGGCTTTGGTTAACACGCTGCTCGTTCTTCTCCAAACTTACGCATTTACCCATCTTTCCAACATCTCCCTGCACTGAAATCTCCAACTCAGGAGACGCAGACCAAGACGTCTCAGAATTAACCTCGGTGGTTTTGGCTTCTGTACCGCTTGTTTCTAAGCTTTTGATTGGCTGTAGGTAGTAAGTGGGCGCCCAGCCCTCTTCGTTCCCCCAGCGGACGAACCACCAGCCGCTCTCCTGCTTCTCCAGAACCTCCACCTGCACTCCCGCTGGAAAGCTGAGCTCACACAGCTCTTCCCGCTGGTAGGCCATAGTAGTTCGGTACAAAAAGGAAGGCGGATCACTAAACATCTGTAATTTATTTGACGAGCCATTCTCAGAGTCCTCAGATGTGCGGGAGGTCCTGAATTGCATCTGGCCTGGTTGCTCCTGGTTTTGGGGTCTTCTGAGAGAACTACAGTCTTGGTTTGCGGGTTTCGGACGCACGGACGGTTTGAATTTAGACTCATCAGCCTGCTGTTTGAGTTTAGATTTCTTTGAGTGTGCGTAGAGCGTCGTAGTGGTCTCAATGTTGGGCTCGATTGTTGGGGCGTCATATTCTGGTGGATCCCACATAGATGCCCGGTGCCCTGAAGAAGACGAGTATGTATCATAGTGACTGTCCTTACACTGTGGTACAGCTCTGAAGCCACCGATGGCATACACACCCTCATCATCCTCTTCATCCCCTTCATCCAACATAAAAGAAACGGTACGCTGACATAAAGGAGGCGGGGCTTTAGTCGGTGCATCTCCTGGAAAAAACTCCTGCTCAGGATCGAATTCAAGGCCCACTGTTGGAACATCATATTCTGGTTCCTCATACACTCGTGGACTCGTTGGGGTCATGACCTCAGACTCAACACATGGAAGCGAGTTCTGCTTTTTGATTGGCGGAGCAGGAGGTGGTACCTTGGGCCGGGTCAGTGTACTGGTTTGGCGGTTCAAGGTGGGTTTCTTGCGTTTGTCGATGTAAGAACACGGGGCCCAACCCTCCTTCTCTCTGATCTGGACGTACCACCAGCCTCCGGAGTTCTTCTCAATGACCTGTAAACATACGTAGAATACTTATATTTAATGTTATTTGCAGCTAATAGGGAACATTGGGGTGAGTTGTCACACTTTTACTGAAGATTTTAGATCAGTTTATATATAGAAGTTCTACACAGTTTTGACCAACAATATAGTTGATATACCACATAGGCTAAGTCATCACAATTCGCTGATTTAGAAATAGTAACTTTTTTAAAACTATCAAAATGTTTTAAGAAAAAAATCTCTCAAAGCTATATTTGATCAAAAATTCACAACAGTATATTGTGAAATTGTATTACAATTTAAAATAACTGTTTTCTATTTGAATTTATTTCAAAATGAAATTAAAGAATAAAATGTAATCCCTGTGATAGCAATGCTAAATTGTCAATAGCTATTACTTAAGTTTTCATTGTCACGCAATCCTTCAGAAATAATTTTAATATGCTGCTTTGGTGCTCAAGAAACATTTTCAATTATCAATGCTGAAAACAGTTGGGCCGCTTCTATTTGTGGAAACTGTACTAATTATTTTTACAGAATTCTTTGATAAACAGGAAGTTCAAAGAACAGCATTTATTGGAAATAGAAATATATTGAAACATTATAAATGTCTTTACTGTCAGTTTTGATCAATTTATGTGTCCTTACTGAATAACAGCACTTATTTATTTATTTATTTTTTATTGTAAAAAAAAAAAATACCCAAAACTGATTGAACAGTGAAACTGAACAGTGTCTTACCTCAGCTTTCTGTCCTCCACTGAAACTGATCCCATCTGTCAAGCAGGACCTGAACTCAGCGATGGTGTAATACTCAGCTTCAACAGTAGGGGGATTTGGGGGCTGCGGTAACTGAAATCCCTGAATGTGAAGAGAAGAATATGCTATTCAGCATATTATAAAACCACAAAATGACCTATTTGTGTTTGTGTGTGTGTGTGTGTGTGTGTGTGTGTGTTTGTTTTACCTCAGCTTTCTGTCCTCCACTGAAACTGATCCCATCTGTCAAGCAGGACCTGAACTCAGCGATGGTGTAATACTCAGCTTCAACAGTAGGGGGATCTGGGGGCTGCGGTAACTGAAATCCCTGAATGTGAAGAGAAGAATATGCTATTCAGCATATTATAAAACCACAAAATGACCTATTTGTGTTTGTGTGTGTGTGTGTGTGTGTGTGTGTGTGTGTGTGTGCAATGGAGAGAAAGAGGAAAAAAGAAACAGAACAGGAAAATGAGAACACACACACTGACCAGACTGTTTTCTCGACGGGGAGGCAGTTTTTGATTGTTTGACGGTGATCCTAGGAAAAACAAATCAAACATCAAAATGTGTTTGTAATCTTTAAAAGTTTGTTCACCCAAAAATGAAAATTCTGTCATTAATTACTCACCCGTATGTCATTCCAAATCTCTAAGACCTTCGCTCTTCTTTGGAACACAAATTAAGATATTTTTGATGAAATCCAACAGCTTTCTGACCCTGTGTCATGGTACTCTCAATAACGGCGGAGGACAGTGACACAGAAGAGAAGAATTGTTGAATAAAGTCTTTATTTTTGTTTTCTTTGAACACAAAAAGTATTCTCGTAGCTTCATAAAATTACGGTTGAACCATTGATTTCACATGGACTATTTTAATGATGTCCTTACTACCTTTCTGGGCCTGTGAACATTTCAGTTGCGTTGCTGTCTATGCAGGGTCAGAAAGCTCATGGATTTCATCAAAGATATCTGAATTTGTTTTCCGAAGATGAACAAAGGTCTTACGGGTTTGGAACAACATGAGAGTGAGTAATTAATGACAGAATTTAAATTTTTGGGTGAACTATCTCTTTAACATGGAAAAACATTATAGAAAATACATAAAGAAAGAAAGAAGGAAAGAAAGAAAGAAAGAAAGACATAAAAGAGATAAAAAAGAGAAAGAAAACAGGAAGAAAGAGAAACAAAAATGAAATAAAAAATAGAAAGGAAAAAATATTTAAAAAGGAAAAAAGAAAACAATTGAAATAAAAAGAAAATGAGGGAGAACGAAAAATAGAAATACAAGGACAAAGTAAAGAAAATAAAAAGTAAAAGCACAAAAAGTGAACATTAATTAAAGAAAAAGATAGAAACTCACTGGTCTCAGCGCTGTGGAATCTCTGAGGTGCGACTCGAGCAATGGCAGGAGACGGAGGGACTGTTTTGGTCTTTATTGCGGATGATGTTGAAGACACACTTGCTTCAGAAACAGATGCAGTTACACAAGCATCCGACACTGACACAGACACACTGGTGTCTGAGACAGACAGACTCGTGTCTGTGTGCTGGGTGACATGATCATCAGAGTCTCTGTCTAAACTACTACTAACCGCATTAGCTGCTGTGCTAATGCTGACGCTGCTGCTGCTGTTTCTATCACTGTGTGTATTGTTACTGTAAGCATCAGTCTGCTCCGTATCACCATTGTATTGTGTACATGTGTCTGTCTGTGAGTGCCTGTATGTGTTTGTGGTGCTGTTTCGGTGTGCAGTGGTGTCAGTTTGTGTGTGTGAGTGTCGTTCGTTGGAGGGTTTCTTGTTCAGGAGGTTGCTGATCTCCATAAGGTTTCCGATGATTTCCACCTGACCCTGCACATCTGGTTTATTTGTCTCTGTTGCCTGGTTACCGGCCATGACACCATCTTGCATTTTCCTCAGGTAGGCAGCTGGAGCCCATCCCTCCTTACTACCATAACTGAGAGGAGAACAGAGAGAGTGAGATCATTCACATACTCCCAACACATACCACCAACCAAGGGCATTTTCTCAATAAAACTATATAACTATATACAACAACACCAAATTTGGGATTAGTAAGATTTTTTTTTTTTTTTTTGAAAGAAATTATAATTTTTATTCAGCAAATATGCATTAAATTGTTCAAAAGTGTCAAATGTTGAAAAAATATTATATTTCAAATAAATACTGTTCCTTTGAGCTTTTGGTAACACTTTACTTGAAGGGGTGTGCATAAGACTGACATGACACCTTCATAATCATGACATGACACATGTCATGAATATGAAGGAGGTTTTATGCATGTTTATGACAACTGTCATTAAGTGTCATTCGCTCAGTTATGTCATTTTTTATGTAAAAATGTAAATGCAGCCTTGGTATGCCTGAGAGTCTACTTTCATATATATTTTTATTATTATTTAACTACATGTGAAAAATATTGCGGTTTCCACAAAAATATTAAGCAGCACAACTGTTTTCAACATGCCCCAAACCAGCATTTGAGAATTATTTCATATTAAAAGCATATTAGAAGGATCATGTGACACTGCAGACTGGAGTAATGGCTATTGAAAATTCAGTTTTTCCATCAAAGGAATAAATTACATTTTGAATTATATTAAAATAGAAAGCATTCTTTTAAACTGTAATAATATTTCACAATATTACTGTATTTTTCTATCAAATAAATGCAGCCTTGGTATGCCTGAGAGTCTACTTTCATATATATTTTTATTATTATTTAACTACATTAAATTATTTATTCCCAACTAAAACAAACTGAAACCAAAATATGAAATCAAAATTACAAACTAGTGACATTTTCAAAACTGCAATCCCCCCATCTTCAACACACAATAGTGCTTGTGGACGTGGATGTTACACTCTCAGGGGGAAAAAAGTTACAAAATAGTACCCTTTCAAACTTTTCAAAAGGTACTAATACATACACTTTAGATACTAATATGTACCATTTTGGGGTTAAAAAAGGGGTAGCTTTTAGGCCTTATAGGGTAGCAGCTTTGGACTGAGTAAGTTAGAGTGTAAGGTTAGAGGTGACTGTAGGGCTACCTGTTTGTCATCAATAACTGAATTTTTTTTTTCTGCAAAAACCCATTAAATATTGAGACGATTCCAGCAAAAAAAAGCAAAGGATATTTAAAGCATATTGAAGTAGTTTAAATAGAAGAATAAACATGTGGAAGAAGAGTTTACCGTATGAACCACCAGCCCTCCAGATTCCTCTGGATGACCTCAACAATGACGCCACTCTCAAAGCCCAGCTCATCCTGACTCGAACTGCTGAAGGACTGAACTGTAATATACCTCTCTGCTACAGACAAAAGAGGAAAGAGAGAGCACAATGTACACTGTCCTGCTACAAGATACAATCTACATAGACATACAAATGCAATACGTAGAAAAAAACAATGAAAAAATATATTGTAAACTTGTGTGTAGCTGTCCTGCATGTGTATACAGTACCCTCCATTACTTGAACACTTGTACAAATATACAAATTACACTGAATTTGTTACAAAAATATCAAACCATGTAGCATAATTTTCTCGGAACAAACTTTTCTGTGGAGTCATTCCATTTATTCATTACTGACATCTGACGACCAGAGGTTGTATAAAATGTTTTTTACACTAATTTTTAAACAGAATGTCGAATGTTTTATCATTTAACACTGAACACATTTCTTTTTGTGAAATGTTTTGCTAAAAAGTGTTTCTTTAAAATATGTGCCACACCATTTGATATATTTTTTTTATCTAATGCAATGACGGTCGTTCATACATTTTTAAATGTGCCTTAAGTGTCCCAGTACTTTTTGGGCCACTTTAATGCTTGTGTGTTTAGATTGTTTGCTGTTTTGGTGTGGAATAGGAAAACCCAATTGAAACATGCAGACATTGCAAAATCTCTCCACCACAAGTCACATTCTCTCCGTAATATGGGTCAGTGTGTGTTGGACCTGGTTGTACAGTAAAACTCTTCTGGACCAGGAGATGGAAAATCTGACACCTTTGCTGGAAAACATATCAACATAAACAAAAAGCTGATCATTAAATGTTATTTTTAAGGATAAAGGATATGGCAAAAAACATCTGTGATTTATGCGATGCAACCATTTTCAGGCCAAGGACCCCTTGGTGGATAAAAGGGTGGAGCAAAGACCCCCTGTTACATAGTGTGTAAATATGAATGCATGCCATGGACTTAATTAGCACACATATAGTATCATATTATTATTTTGTTACATTGCAATGCCATTAAATTATCTTTGTTGATGTGCAAAGTTTGGTCTGAACAAAAACGACAGACTGGATTATTGAAAATGAACATTCATTCTCTGCCAGTAAGAGGCGCTTTTGGAACGTCAGAAATATAGAATGAGAAAAGTGTGAAAAAATAGTCTATATTGATGAGAAAAGTCCACTGATGAGTTACCAGCGTAAGCCTGTGTGCAAAGGCTGTCTAGTTCTAAACTTTACAATACATTTATTTTTAGTTATTTTAACTACAAATTTAAATAAAACTGAAAAAATTATGAAAAGGCAATTATACATTTACACATCTAAGGCTTATATCACCCAAAAAGGTAACTGCGTATGTGTCCTCTACTTGGTTCCTTCTCATAAATGAGTAAGCGGCATTTAAAACAATTATAACATATAATACACACTGTTTCTCAATATTTAATTACAGCTTCAGATGCATAATATTTTCATCTCCTTCAAGCAGGATACACAAAAAGCATGTTCAACTCGGACGGTTGTCGTGGTAATAAACACCGTAAACCGCAACCGTTCGCATGTCAGCGCTTAATGCACATCTCCTATATGAAAAGCATTTTAGGGGGCCCTTGGATTTTGGGGGCCCAAGGCGGTCGCCTACCTTTGCCTAATGGGTAAGTCCGCCCCTGCTCTGTAAATAAATACCTTAAAGAAAATAAATGGACAGATTGACTCAAGCAAGTACAGAACATCAGATATCTGCAGTCTTTTTGTTAGCATATACTACAATCGTCTTCATTTTTTTGTGTGTATGCATGTGTTAAAGGAGAGAATCAGAACATTCCAAGCTAAAAAGAGACATGATAACAGATATTAAATACTCACTGATGAGGAAGAGAAAAAAAGAAGAGTTCATGGAAGAGAGAGAGTTAGGAAGGTTGTCTTGGAATATTAAGCTCATAATGACTTTAACATAAAGAGTTCAGCAACACACACTCACACAGAGACACACAAACAAGTACACATACGCATATGAATACACACTTTTTCTGCTGAGGAAAGATTCTGGAGGATCCATTAAGATGGTCTAAAGACCTTCACTCAAATACGAGTCTCTGGCTGTGGTGGGCTTTTTCCAGACACACACACAAACGCTTCTACTGCTAAAAATGACTCAATATCATTGCTTTCCTCAGAACTGATTATTTAATTCTCAGTCTTAGCATGTTCAAATTTTATTTGTAAATTTCAAAGCACTATTTCAGTAAAATAAATAAATAAATAAGTCATTCTGAATTCTCTCCAGACATAATATTTGTTTTAAACACACAGTGTAGGCTGGAAACATTCCATTTATCCAAATGAAATCCAAATGCTGCTTTAAATTCTGGTAAGATATGTAAACCAAACAATGTCTACTTAAAAAGATTTATAATAACTCATGACTCATTCAATAACAAATGTTCGACATATTCCAATATTGCTATTTTGGGAGGGGGTGCTGTGAAGATGATCTATGATGAGCCGCTTTTTTGTTTTGTTTTGTTTTGCACGTATGGAATTAAATATTTAATTTGTGGTAGCTATATATCATTATTCATTCATTTAGCTTCCAAAGTGGTCATCAAAATAATAACAACTGTAACATCAGAAAAATAAGCACAGCTGACATGAAAGACAACAAATCATCAAGTAATGCATTGACAACTAATAAGTAAGCATAAGTAAGTTGCATTGCATCATTGTCACAGTTTGAGTGTTATAGAGAAAATTTTATGTGCACTTTTAAGAATATATTTTCAAATAATTTGTTGTAAACAGAGATTATCACTCTAAAAAAAAAAACACTGTTTAAAAAGCCAGGCTGGTTTTCTGGTCTCCAAGTGTGGCCAACATGGTTAGACTGGTGTGTTTTGATGGTCTCAGAGGGATTTGGGGAACTTTTCAACTGGTCCAACTAGAGACTAGCTAAACCAAGTTACAAGCTTAACACAAGCTTAAACTATTAGAGTAGCTTAAGTTTTTTTTCTGTGAACAGCTGACAGACTTGAGGTTTACTCCGTAGTTAAGAGTTTTCGAATCAAAGGATTTTGAGTTATTAATGTTTCATTTATAAGGTATGAAGAAGCTTTTGGGGAAAAGAAAGACAGAGAGAAAAGGAAAAGGGGTAGCTGACGAAAGGAGTGAAAGATGAGATGAGGAAAATTAACCAAGAGCTAAGAGCTCAAGGGGCGGGCAATAGAGAAAGGGGGAACAGATGCCAATCAAATGATGCTCCACCCCTTTAAAACAGTTTAAACAGAAACATATGGACTATGAAAATAGAGTATACTCACACTCAGCACATACTCACATTCTCCCCAACTTTGTTCACATTCTCTGAAACACATCCTACTGCTCTCCAAAACAAAAACAGCACAGTCACATTTGAAACACTGATCCTCTATTTTCAGAGAGAAAACATTTTATACATTAATGGTAGTTTTTAGCATTAGTTTTAGTGTTTTATATATATATAATTATACTTCTGGTATTTATGCCTATTAAAAAAAAACATCATCTACCAGCACTTTACAGTATATCGTCATGACAGATTGAGACTGTGTGATAAAATCACAAGAACAATACTGTAGAAGAATAATTTCACCAGAACAAACATTAAATACACATTGTTTTAAGTATATAGCCACAAAGACTATATTATATGAGAGAAAGAATCGCTTCCTAACTTTTTGTGCGAAATTACACTAATGTTCAAAAGTTTGAGTTTGGTAAATATATAAAATTTCAAATTTCAAATAAAAAATTACAATATTACTGTTTTTACTCTATTTTTGTTTAAAATATATGTAGCCTTGACCTCTTAAAAACATTACAAAACCTTACCAACCCCAAACTTTTTAAAAATATTGTAACTGCACAAAAAAGTTAGTTAGCGATTCTTTCAGTCAAATAATATAGTCTTTGTATGCAATCTTTATATATTTAAAACAATGTTTTTTAATGCTTGTTCTGGTGCAATTATTCTTCTAATGTACACATATGGTAATTGTAATTTTATCACTGAATTAGTTTATTTTATTTTAATGGTCGCATCACATGTTGATATTCAAACCAACATAACATAACAAATTGTTTGCAATATTGCTTAACTAGTCAGAACCTTTTTTAAATAGGTCTAGATTAAGTCCTCATCTTAATACATTTGCATTTAAAGGTGGGGTAAACGATTTTCCAAAAAACGCTTTAGAAAACTGATTTGGGCAGACTAGCAAAACAAACTTGTATCCAATCAGCAGTAAGGGGCATGTCTACTCATGATGTGGAGGAGAGAGCGTTCAGTGCACAGGACGGACATTAGCGAGCCGAGCGACAGAAAGATAGAGATGGCGGATAAAAAACAAAAGAGGAAAACATCTGCGGAACAAAAGAAGGCTTAAGGCAAGAAGTAGGACCCGTATAAATATAGGATCAGCTTTCCAGCGCTGGAGAGAACTCAAGGAGCGGAAGGCCTGCGATCGGACGCCGAGGTTGCTTTGTTTCTTCTCGATAGGTGAGTAACACTGTGTCTGCGCCGCAACAGCTAAAGTCTGTCTAGTACACTGGACGCGACAAAGCGACTGTTGAAAATCATTTGAAATTTGTGTCAATACGTCATGAATAGAACGCAGCAGCAGTTTTCTGTCGGGGATTTATCGTGTCGTGCCGCGCTGCATCCAGTGTAGACCATAGATATGTATGTGGTGTAGACAGAATCATTGATTATAATGAGTTCCATAGTATTTTGTCGCGCCGCACCACTCACGTCCGGTGTAGACACGGTGTAACATTGGTTTTGCTTTGTTTCACAGAACTAATCGTTGCCTGGGTTGCGTACGTATGTGTGGGGCGGAGCTATCAAAATAGGGGCGTGTTTGTTTTGGTGATTTCAGATGTCAGCATTGGCTACCAGAAATCACTTACCCCACCTTTAAAGCATTTTTGCAGATGCTGTTATTTGGAGTGATTATTCTTTAAAAAGTATCCTGAGTATTTCAGCCCTATTTTCCAGTCCTCAAGTTGCACACATGCAGAGTTTGATCAACTTTTAATTTCTACAGTGTACTGATAAAGGGATGTTTTATTCCTTTTACAGTCCCTCTTTCTCTCTGTTTTGCTCTTTTTTCTCTTTCCTTCCCTCCTATGGCTCCCCCTCCTCAGTCCTCTTTCCACCCCATCACACTGAAGCCACTTCCTCTCTGCCACGTCA